TTACCTATTATATTCAGACAGACTCAGAACACTAAGAGGCTAAATAAATTCAAACAATATAGTTTGTCATGAATAAAGCTAGAGTTATAGAAATCAAGACCTCAACACCAATTCTTCCACTGTGTCTTACTGTCGATTCCAGACCTAACATTTTTTGCATATGTCGGTGTGGTCCCTATCATTTTTTTCAATCACAAATGTCAATGACACATGTTCCAAATTCATTACCTCACTTCTCCTGCCTGCATTATGCAAAAATTCTTTTCCAACTGTTAAGTGCTTCACAAAATTTAAGTTGAAATACTAAGGTTGAAAAGAACTTATAAAAGAACTGAAAAAACTCAGACCCTCCCCCATTCAAAGATCCAGTCCAAAAATGGGTATCTGAGATGAATACATACTTCTCAGATGAAAGAACTATAGACAGCAAATAAATACATGAAAAATGTTCAACATCACTGGTCTTTTGAGAGGACCAAATTAGAATAACAAAGAAAAAATGGCTATTGTCAAGAAATCCACCAATAACAAATGCTGGCAGGATTCCCACTGTTGATGGGAGTTTAGCCTGGTGCATCTGCTCTGGAAATCATTGTGGAGATTCCTCATAAAAGTAGGACTTGAGATTCCATTTGACCCAGCTATTCCCCTTCTGGATATTTCCCTAGAATTAAAACCATCACAGTGATGTGTGTGCATCCATGTTTATAAGCAGCACAATTTGTAATAGCTAGATCTAAAAAGCAACCTAAATGCCCATAAAACTGAGGAACAGATTAAAAAGATGTCATATTTTTATATGATGAAGTACTACTCAGCTATAAAGAAGAATAAACATGAGGTTTATACTGGTAAATGGAGTCCATTTAGAGTCCATACTAGAGTCCATACTCATAAGTGAAATAAACTAGAAATAAACTAGATCCATGTGTGTAAACATCATATTGTCTCCTTAGTGTATGAAATTGAAAAAGTCCGTAAGATCCAAAATCTACAATAGATACTGTGAAAGGAAAAGAATGAGCCCAAAAGTAAAGAACAACTGGCATGGGTGAAAGGATAAAAGAAGGGGCTAGAGATTTAGTTTAGTGGTACAAGCATCTGTCTGAAAGTGCAAGATCATAAGTTTGATCCCCAGTACCAAAAAAAAAAAAAGTATATGTATGTGTATATATTTATACATACACACACACACATACATACACAAATAATAGCTAAAATAATTATATTACTGTTTCTTAGTTCATTGAAGAGAGAGGTTTGTGTTTTTTATTGTATATATATATATACATACATATATCCTATAATTTGAGCAACTATTTTGAAGATAACAATATACAATATACTAACCACTGTCAATTTCCTATTATCTTGGTTTTTGAACTTTTGCATCTTTCTTTTTATTGTTTCTTTCCTTCTTTTTAAAATAAAAAAAGAACAGAACTGTGGTCAGTATAGAGGGAAAAAGCTCAAAGACAATCACTTAATTGTTCATGCAATATGATACAATAAAATGCAATATCACACCTTTAAGAAACATAAAATTAAAGTTTGTTTTATATGAGTAATTAAAAAGTACAAAGAGAAAAACAAGAAATAGGCAATTGGGAAAAATAAAAATGCTTAACTTATGTTCTATAAATTTAAAAAATAAGTAGAAAACTGTATTTCAGCATCATTTTAAAGTTAAAACAAAACTAAAATAGCATGTTTTAACCATTTAAAGTTCAAACTAGAATCTGTCTAAATTTGTAAAACATTTTTTTGTTTGTGTGGTTCTGAGGATTGAACCTTGGGCCTTGTACATACAAGATAAAAGTTCTACCACTTAGCCCCATCCCCGGCCCTGTAAATCACTTTCATATCGCCTCTTTCCATCAAACATATAAAAGCAACTCATTACTTAGCATTTTTTAGGTAAACTATGAGAATTTTACTTTTAACTGTTGTTTGTCCATAAATAATCTCAATCACCCTACTTTTCTCTTTCGGAGTTCCCTTTAGTAACTTCAGAATATCCCCTGATTAGCTCAATGCCAATTAAATTTTCTATGAAACTCACCTACATTGAAGACCCTAAATTACATACTTAAAACTATTTTTCAAACAGAAAACTACCTTTCCACTTAGATAAAATATGCTATACCTCTTGGTTTTTTAAAAAAAATCTTACTATGAAAACTAGTTTTTTGCACTTTAAAGCAAAGAACAAAAACAAATAACTATATATCCATAAGGCATCAGTGTTAAAATTGTATTTTCCATATAAATCATAGCTTTTGATAAGTCTGTCATCAAGGATCTTAATGTACAGAGAAACAACAACTTTTAGGCCATAAATTTTGCTGGCTTAATGGACTGAAATGCTGTGAAAGGTGAATTACTATTACTTGATATGAAACATAATATTTGATCATAAGGCACTAGATTTACATATAATGTCCCTTCTAGGAGACAAGTATAATGTAGCATATTAAAAAGTAAATTTTCGTACTTTAGTTAGATTTTATTATAATGAAAAGTAATCATAAATTTCCCTACATAAGGTCTTCTTGATACTTATATCACAATCCTTTGCTATTAATGCATAAAAATACACAGAGAGAATGGCAGAAATAGGATACTACACTTGACAACTTGGAAAGACAGAATAATTCTAATACATTGAATTTTTAATTCCTCTAATCCTAGTATCTGAAGCCTTCGAAATAAATGTCATGTAAATTGCTGAGAATTCATTTGGCTTTAAGGAAAGAAATATCAGGGAATCGTGTGCAAAATAGCACAAACTTAAAGAAACTGATTTTAGACAAAAGATCTTTACAGGTGATTTTGCCATTACTTAATTTTGGAGACAACTGTGGCACAACCCTAAAGCTGGATGCTATTACTTAACAGATTTCAAGGAAAGACTGGATCCCCTGATAGTCATACCATATTTCTCACACATTCTATCAAATGCAAGTCTAGATGCTACTACGAAGGACTTCTATAAATGTAAAGTCGTAAATTGGTTGACTGTAAGGTAGAGAGATTTTTTTTTCTTTTTAACTGATGAGTCTAACCTATTAGATAAGATTTCTCCTGGCAAAGAAAATATTAACTATGACAGGGAAAATGTGTTCCAAAATCTCAGAAGGAGCTATATGGAAAAGAAAGAGAGAAGTCTCTAAGAGCTGAGTGGATCCTGGCTTGATAGTCCTTATCCTACAGTTTCAAGGAACTATATTCTGCCATAGCCATCTGAACTTAAAACATAAGCCCCTGAAGCAGTCCAGCCAACAATTTTCTCTCAGAAGAGTATAAGCAAACAATCCTAAATCTTGCCATGTGCATATTGTGTATTACAGAAATGTGAGATAACAAAAGGGTATTGTGTAACGCTGCTATGTTTGTGTTAGTTTGTTACAAAGTAACAAAAATCTCATGTTAAGCACTTACTAGGCTAAGTTACAATTTATGTAGAATAACCAAGAAAAGTTTACTGAAAGACCAAAATTCTACTTCAAGAAATTACCTAGCATTAACAATATCCAACAATAGTCACTATTAGATTAGGTCCAGGAGAGAAGGAAACAACATAAGAAATTTAAAAACATCAAAAATGGGAGCAACAACAACAAAAAATGTCATAAAATATAATATATTCCTACTAGGAGAAACAAATTTTTTCTGCATTTAGCACTATTGCTGTGAAAGTAGAAGAGAAAGAAGAGACTTTCAGCACTATTATCGTCATTAAGAATCAGCCTATTCTTTGTACAGATTACACAGATGCTTCAGCACTTATTTAGATCCTACAAATGTTCAGAACTGTGTTAAGCATCTACTGAAATACTGCAGCAGTAAGCGAAGCATTTTCTTACTTACATATGATGACATTAGGTTCTTTATCCCATAGTGAAATACCTAACTGATTTAAGGCATTATTCTTACATAAAAGCTCCTTTAATATCTTCAAATTAATTTTATACAATGACATTAAAAAAAATAAAGTACATTCATATGCACAGGGAGGGAAGAACTCAAAAGGTCATACACATGAGGCAGTAATAATGCTAACAAAAAAGGGATAACTGGTTCATTTTCTTAGAGCAAACTTTTACTTTCAAATCTCTGTGAAAAATTATATATTAAATATCAATGAGTACTTAAATTACCAGATTCTTTTATTTAAACCATGACTTGGGAAAAAAGTGGTAGTAATAGTTTCAAAGAGTTCATTTTTATTTAATTTAATGTCTCTGTCTAAGTAATTTCCTAAAAAATATAGATGAAAATGCTGAGAACTTCTCAAGAATACATAAGATTGGATAAACAGAAAACAATCTTAAAACTTTAATTCCCTAAAAAATTAAAAGTTCATGAAACAATGAGATGCTGAAGTTACAAAAGAATTTCATTACACTAAGTCATAAGAAAAAATGTATACACACATATGTGCATATATATACACATATTCATAAAGCTTTTGTTTTCTTCATTCCCTTTAAAATCTTTTGTAGGACAATTATCTGAAAAGCCTTGAACCAACCCAGTTTTCCTCCATTTCTCATTCACAGTTCTCAAAAGTGAAGAATGTGCTGAAATACAATATCCGGAGACAGGAAGGGATAAGCGGGAACAGCCCAGGCTTGTTCCACTCCTCCTGTAGAAACAGATGGCTTCTAACGATTTTGCCCAGTGATTCCAGTTGCCTGAGGGAAATGAGCCCAGGAAAAGCTGCTTTCCAGGGACTGGAAGCACACACACTAAAGAATCTATCTGCCATAATTTTCCTGAATTTAAAGAACTGGTTCATAATGAATCCAGACTTTCTGTTGTGCCCTGCTGTCTATATGTAAAGTAATAAACCTTCTGCATGAAATCAGTACACAGTGAACTTTTTTATATCTCCCAGTATTTTCTAATGAAAAACTCATTAGAAAGTGATATGGGGGGGGGGATAAAATCAACTGAGTCATTTCCTGATTTTACAACACCTATGGTAGATCTTTCTTACCTTGTCTATCCTGTCTGGGCGATTAGTAGCTGCCAAAATTGTCACATCCTTTAGCTGTTCAATCCCATCCATTTCTGTTAAGAGCTGAGCCAAAACACGGTCGGCTACATTTCCAGCACCTGAAGAACTGATATTTTAAAAATACAATTTTAAAATATTTGTTTACCTATTTCTTAATCTTGAATTTACTATTCTAAACAGCTTCCTATTCTACAATAAAACTTATGTCTATTTCAAAAAACAGCATGTATGTCTGAGACTTACTATGCTTGAATTATCACTTCAAAAACTAACATAGTCAAATAATTTCCATCTTAATGATGGTGAGAAACTAGAAGCTTTTCTACTATGATCAGGAACAATTTCCCCTCTCACTACTCAACATTTTACTGGAAGTCTTGGCTTATGCAATAAGACAAGAGAAAAAAAGTAAAAGGTATAGATTAGGAGAGGAAAAAAATATAGATTTGTAATGGATACAATTATGTATGTAGGAAATATGCAATAAAGCAAACTAACCCATCTCTTAGAACAGTAAGTAATTATAAAAAACCTTCAAAATACAAGGCAAAAAATCATTGCTGGTTTCTACTATACCAGCAATGTATATGCTATCACCCTAATATCAAAAAATAAAAATTTGTATATAAGTATCATATATTTTAATATATCTAACAAATATCACAAGATCTACTGAGAAAAACTATATGAAGAAATAAAAAATGAATTAAGCAAACAGATTCTATGTTCATGAGAAGAAAAATTCAATATTAGGGTAACAATTCTTTTCAACTTTATCTACAGATTCAATGCAAAATCACATAAGCTACTGTGTGGATACTCGATTCTAGCCTACAAGTAAAAGATCCATTGCTAATTTGATATTGAAGAAGAGCAAAGTCAGAATACTTATGCTATCCAACTTTCAAGAATCACTATGACAATAATCCATATAGTGTGGCATTGGCAAAAAGACAAACTGGCCAATGGAATAGAACAGAGAGCCCAGAAGTAGACCTAAATAAATACAGCTAACTGGTCTTTAGTATCAGAACAAAGGCAATAATGTAACAAAGTCCTTTCACAAAAGTTTGCTAGAATAACTGAATATCCACATGCCAAAAAGATTCTATATACAGCCCATACAATTTTTCACAAAAATAGACTGAATGGATCATAGTCATAGACCTAAATATTAAATATAAACCTATAAAACATCTAGAAGGTAACGTAGGAGGAAACCTACATGACGATATACATATTATATGTTGATAACATTTTAGATACAACACCAGCAGTAGCATCCACAACAGAAACAACTGTTAATGACACATTATTAAAATTAAGACTTTTGGTCCTACAAAAGATTTATACCAAGAAAATAAGAAGAAAACATTTTATACCACAAAGTGGTATAGATACACCTAATAAAGGACTGATAAATTACAACAATTCATTCAGTTAATTCATTTAACAAGCACAGTTTTAGGAAACGAATTTTTAAAGCAACCTAAGTTATCACTTAGCTTTATTCTAATCCATTCTCCTTTTAAGATCTGAAATCAGGAACTTCTACAACTCAACAATATGAAAATGAGCAAACAGAGAGATTTTAAAATGAGCCCCAAACCTGTATGTTTCCCCTTTTCAAAATTCAGTTTCTCTCAAGTGGTTATATTTACTACGATTACTACTTTATTAAGGAAAACCAACTCTCAAGCAGCCAGAGTTACTAATCATAGTAATTAATTTTATAAGTCACAGTGGGTCTTTCAGGTGCCATCAGACGATCATGAGGACAGAGCATAAATAATTTCAAAGAATGTTGTAAATCAAATATACTATTGCACCACAATAAAGTTAAACAGGATAATAAAAATTTATTAAAGTTGAAACAAAGTAATTGTGTGGATGAAATATGTATTAATTAATGTATATTTCAATAAAATACTCCCCAAAAAGGCAAGAATAATTTGATGAATATTAAAAAATGTTTTTTATTTTTCTAGCACATCAGCCCTTTATTAATTATACTATCTGTGTTAGTCGCTTTCTCACTGCTGGAAAAAGTACCCTATACTCACAGCCAGGAGTGAAAAAGGAAGAATAAAAAACCAAGAATATACTCTTTCCAATCATATCCTCTATGACCCACCTCTTTTGATCAACCTCTGTCTGTTTAACAGCATATACATTTGTGAAGCCAGATCAAAACTAGAATACTACCTGATTACAATTAACATTCAGCATAAATCTAATAATCGATATACTGTTTTAGTTTAATAATATGTTCTATAAAATAGATATATACATAAGGAGTTACGTTTGCCACCTTTCCCTGACTTGTGTTAATATACATGTGCTCTGCATAACTACGTTGCTGTATAAGCTGTTAACACAGAAAATGGCATAAAAGTATGTATTTTTCCATTTTGGTCTGATATCTCAATAAAAATTATAAGTTAACACAAGTAATACACCTTACATCTGTATAGTTTTGATTCAAATGTACCATTAGAAAAACAAGTGTTTTCTAACAGTTCAATTTACATCCTGCAAAAAGCAATTCTAGGAGAACTTTCCTCATACTGAACTTCCACATACTTACACTAGAAACATATTCTAACAAATTTTTTTAAAAACTTACACATCAAACTTTTCTGATAACAGGCTATGCAAAAACTGAAGTACACAGAATGCTTTTGAACATCTTGCTAATACCATAGATCTAAAAATAGTAAAAATTCGGTAGTAAAAACAAATTAAACAATACAATAGAATTTTTTAAAAAATCACTCCAGTAAAACCTTCACTTATTAGTACTTACTGCATAGGATGCTTTGGATTTGAGAGAGCTCTGACAGTTTGTAAACTTGGGTTCAAATGATAGCTTTACAATATGTTTTTTCTAAGTTTTCAGAGAGCTACTTTATGTCTCTGAACTTGTTTCCTAGTTAAAACACGAAAAGAATCGTAATTGCCTTCCTGCAATAAACTGAATGTTTGTATTCTCCCAAAATTGCTACGGTGATATCTAATCCCCAATGTGACAGCACCTGAAAGTGAGTGTCAGGAGGTAATTAGCTCACAAGATAGAGACCTCATAAATGAGATTTATAAAGGAGAAGGTTCACAGAGAGAGAGCACTCTATCTCTGTCAACTACTGTGAGGATAAAGATGGCAATCTGACCCTCAACAAATGGACCCTCATCAGACACCAAATCTGCTAGTACTCTGATCCTGAACTGTAAAAAATCAATTTGTATTTATAAAGAATAGCCAGTCCAAACAGTATCATTATTACAAAAGCCTGAATAGACTAAGATACCTCTTCAAACTTAAAACTACAAAGGATCTAGCAAGGTGCGTTATGACACAAAGGAAATTTATAACCATTATCATTATCACAATTATCACCAATCTGACTAATGAAAATAATTAAAAATTTATAAAGGTATCTTAGTGAATTAACAAAGGGGCATCTGGCACATAAATATTTACTGAAACAAACTATGAGAGTAGAGGTTTTCGAAATAGGTGTTGATGATCTTCTGTATTTCCATTGGGTCTGTAGTGATTTCACCTTTTTCATTTGTTATTGCATGAATTTGAGCTTTTTCTTCCCTTTTTTTAATAAGGTTGGCTAGGGGCTTATCGATTTTATTTATTCTTTTGAAGAAGTAACTCTTTGATTCGTTGATTCTTTGGATTGTTTTCTTAGTCTCTATTGCATTGATTTCTGCTCTGATTTTTATAATTTCCTCTCTTCTTTTGGCTTTGGGCTTGACTTGCTCTTCTTTTTCTAGCTGTTTGAGGTGTAGGATCAAGTTATTTATTTGTATTCATTCTGTTTTCCTGATGTGGGAACTCAGTGCAATAAATTTTCCTCTGAGGACAGCTTTCATTGTATCCCCCAAATTCCGGTTAAGTTGTATCTGCATTTTCATTTCCTTTAGGTATTATTTAATTTCTTCTTTAATTTCTTCTGTGACCCACTGATTACTCAAGAGTGTGTTATTCAGTTTCCATGTGTTTGCAGGATTTTTGCAGTATCTTTTATCATTAATTTCTAATTTCAGAGCGCTAAGATCCGATAACATGCAAGGGATGATTTCAACTCTTTTGCATTTGTTTAAATATGTTCTGTGAGCTAATATATGGTCTATTTTAGAGAATGATCCATGTACTGCTGAGAAGAATGTGTATTCTGATGTTGTTGGGTGGAACATTCTGTATATGTCTATCAAATCCATTTGTTCGCAGGTGTGATTCAGTTCTGTTATTTCTTTGCTCATTTTCTGTCTGGTTATCTGTCCCTTGGTGTCAATGGCATATTAAGGTCTCCTGTTACAATTGTGTTACTGATAATTTGAGTTTTCATTTCTGTTAATAGTTGCTTTATATAACTGGGTGCTCTGGAGTTTGGTGCATATATATTTAAGATAGTTATCTCTTCCTCTTGCAGTTTTCCCCCTACGAGTATGTAGTGACCTTCTTTGTCCTTTATGGTCATTGTTGGTTTAAAGTTCACGTTGTCTGCAAACAGAAATGGTTACTCCTGCCTTTTTTTGGATTCCTGCTGCATGAAGTATTGTTTTCTATCCTTTGACTTTTAGTCTGTGAGTATCCTTCTGGGTTAGATGGGTTTCCTGTAAACAGCATATTGTTGGATTTTGTTTCTTGATCCATTCTGCTAGTCTGTTTCTTTTGATTGGTACATTGAGACCATTTACATTAATGGTTATTACTGTTAAATGCTGCTTTATTGTTGACATGTTATCTCTCTGCTGTTGCATCTTTATCTTTCTGTTCTGTTTAATTATCTGCTTTGCTTAGTGGTTTTTTTCTTTGTGTATCTAAACTGTCATTTTTTGCAGGGTTGGTTTGGTTGTTCATGACGTTCTTCAGCTGTTCTTTGTCATGGAAGTATCATATTTCACCATCAATTTTGAATGATAGTTTTGCAGGATACATCAGTCTAGGTTGGAAATCATTTTGCTTTAGGATCTGGAATACTTCACTCCATGCTCTTCTTGACTTTATTGTTTGTGCTGAGAAGTCTGCTGTGATTCTGATAGGTTTTCCTTTATAAGTGATCTGTCTTTTCTCTCTGACAGCTTTTAATA